ATTCCCCGGGTGTGGTTCACTAGGACAGAAAGCGAATTTTCCGCTTTTCGCACGCGAAACTTTTTCGCGGCAAGAACTCAGGTCCACTCCTGATCAGTGGTTCACCTGAAGATCCTGCAGCGAAAAAGTTGCGCGTGCGAAAAGCGGAAAAGGATATCATTTAGTAAGGGGACTATGGTCATATTGCATGAAGAAATCCACTTTTTTTTTCAGGGGAGGGAAGCTCCGGGGTGGGTGTAAAAGTTTAAGCGAAATGGTTCACGCACCCCGGGGGTTCCCTCCCCTTGCAAAAATTGGAATTTCTGTAGCCGACAAGAACTGTCACACCACATGCCCCCTTGCTGGATGAGACGCGCCGAAAATTGGCTTTCTGTCCTTGTGAACCACATCCGGGATTCCCTGCCCTTGTAAAAATTAGAGATTCTGTAGGCGGCGGGAACTGTCGCATCACATGCCCCTCCCTTACTGGATGGGGCCTAGAATAAAAAAAAACCTTACTTACCAACGTTTTGGAACCGAAATTCGCTCGTTTACCTATGTGTTTTAAAATTGGATTAGAACGCTTATTTTAAAATTGCAGGATGGCCGATGCAGGCTTTTTCCGAGGAACAAGTTCAGATCAGGATGGCAGGTTTTCAGACAAGGAAAAAAAGTTGCTCAAACAGATGAAATTCGAAGATACATTGGAACGGAAGGTATAGCTGTTTTGCTTGCTGAAGGGCAGCGTTTTATTTTATTTTGACAATATCTTAGTTAAGTGTCTAGTCACAATAGGTGACCTAGAACGTTCTCAACCGATTGTTTGAAGGATTTTCGGCATGGTTTTTTCTAAGATCAATATGGACAAAATCAACCTGGACGTCATAAAGCCGTGGATCACGATGCGCATCAACGAAATTCTTGGAATAGAAGACGACGTCGTAATCGAATATATCATGAGCCAGTTGGAGGAGAAAACTATAAACCCCAAAATTATGCAGGTCTAACATTTCACAGCTTTCAGTTTCTTTTTCCTTCTCGTTAACTTCTAAATGCAAATTAAGTTATTGATTCTTTTTCAGATTAATATAACCGGGTTTTTAAACGCGAGACGTGCTCGCGAGTTTATGGGAGAATTGTGGATGCTTTTGATCGAAGCGGACGAATCCGAAGATGGTATCCCTCGTAGTCTTATCGAGAAGAAAATTAACGAAATGAGAAAGGAGCCACGTCCTACTGGGAATGGAGAAGCCAAAATTGAACACACACCTCAGTCGGATGACTGGGCAAAAAGGTAACAGCGTCCTTTTTGAAGTTTGCGATTTTCCTCCATGAATGTATATCGACATTGACCAGTTTCTTTAACTGTGGTCATAATCTAGGGCCTTAGGGACACCACTTGAACGAATTTTCTCTGAGATTTCGCTCAACCCTATGATTTTCTTTTTTTTGTTGTTTTTGTTTGAAGAAATTTTAGAAAGGGTCAAGCTAGCATATTTCATACATAATAGTATTGATCTTACAGAGTAATGTGCTGTAGATGTACCTAGTCCGAAGTTTGGTTTTTTCAAAAGGTAGAATGGGTAGAATTTTCTACCCATTCTACTTTTGAACCTATTCTTTCCACGCAGGACAGTCTCATATAAGTGTACCTTTTTGTTTCAGGTACAGTTCATTGTCAGGTGGTCGTTATACTGGTCCGACAAAGGAGAAGGAAATTAGTGATGATCGGATTACAAGAATAAGTCCTCGAGGTGGGACACCGCCACGTCAGCGAAAAAGAAGTGGCTCTCGCGAAGGCACACCACCAAGAAGGGTAAGTATGGACTAGTGATCAGGAGGAAAAGGAGAGAAATTGTACGGAAAAGAATCTCGAATTGGGTTATCCTTCTTTGTCTTTCATAATTGCTCGTCTTCTGCACCTCTGAAACAGGAGACTTAAAATAGCAGAAATAGCCGCTTTTACTAATTAAGCGTTCCTAAAAGACAGATAGAAGTACCTTAACATCGGAGTGATACTTGAGCCCTAGTAATATACGTTGCTCTCTTTATGATTAATGATTACTTAATCTTCTGAGTGATCTGATATATCTTGGAGGCTTTGGATATTGGATAATTTTCAAATTAGCGTTGCTGACGCATTGACGACAACACATGTCACATAACCGCACGGCGAAGGCTCATTATTCTTGAACGGTTTCGCATTGTCCACGTTTCAAAACTAGCCACATATATTTTTGGAATCGCAAAGCATAAATGTACATATGGTTATTACCATTGATAAAATTCTGTCGAAGTGGTAACTGCTGCTATGAAATTATAAAAAAAGATGTCGGGATACGAGCACAACGATGTCGTCAATGTATGACTTATTACTGCGTGGGCGAATAATTACACGGACCGCTTATATCAAAAACCATTAAGTGAAAATATCATTTTTTGGCTGCCTTCTGTTTAGCTCTAGCCCAAATCATGCTTATCATTCAAAGTGAACAGCTCTCAGCTGCCGGTTTCTTTTGATAGTTCGAAGATTTTTCCTGTAAGTATGTGCTTACTGTGCAGAAAGTCCACGATGATCGAGAAAAAGAGCGAGATAAAGAACGAGAACAACGTCGCCAACAGCGCATCGAAGACGAGAAGAGGAGGGAGGATGAATCGAAAAGAAGAGAAGAGGAAAGACTGAAAAGAAGGGCCGAAGAGAGGGAAAGGGAGAAACGAAAAGAGGAGGAACGTGCAAAAGAGAGGTACGTTGAGAATTGAACTGATATCTGTTTCTTAAAAGATCGGAACTTTTGTCTCACGTTCTCTGTTTACTGGGTCTATGTACTATTTTCTAACAACATGTATTTCTGTAGAGAGCGCCGTCGTGCTGAAGAAGAGAGACGAGAGCGTGAGAGGCGTAGGAGAAGGAGCAGGTCACGATCGAGATCACCGGCTAAAAGGCGTTTCACTGAGGGAGCGTCTTCGAGCAGCAAGCGCAGGCGAAGCCCAAGTGATTCCGACTCTGAAGATAATTCCAAGTAAGCAACAGAGATAGGCAATGAGTACTCTTCTTCTGTTTTGTACTGTTGTCATATTCTTCCATGATTCGTCAACAACTTAATTGAAGTATTCTCTGTGTATTATAACAATAGCCCTAACATCCATAAAATGTATACCCCTGCCATTTCTTCGTTAATATTATTAATCGCTAAAATTTCAGAAAGAAGCGAAAGAAGAAACACTCGCGTCGGTCTAGCGATGACGATTCTGATTATGACAGAAAAATTAAAAAAGATAAAAAGGCGAAGAAACACAAGAAGGTGAGTGTTCAATTTCGAGCCTTTACTTCAAATTTGCTTCGTTCCGAAGTCTCATGTTGATCTGAATGTGTAATAAACAATGTGAGACTCCGAAAATTTGAGTCTTTTGCGATAAATTTATGAGGACTCACATTGCTTATTATTTCAAGCTTCTGTTCTGCTTGAGTACAGAGTCAATTTCTGCTTGCTTTCTTTTTGAGTAATTTCAATGCCGAGATTTATTTCTCGAAGGCCGATGGTCAGATTTTCCAAATCTGGTTGACGTAACGAAGCGTTGCATCACAGCGAAACAGCATGTGCCAGCGGATGAACGCATGCATTAGCAGGACGCAGCCATATTACCAGGCGGGGACTAATCGTGGAGGGCCCAACCTTGAGGAAGTCAGTCCACTTCCAACAGCATCAGTCGCCTGGCACATGTATTGATCCGCTGTACATCTTCGATTGGCTGGCGCAGAGTTCGAGTAGACGCTAGTACACAGCTCAATTCGCTGGTGCAGTGCTCGTATGAATTCGCAAAGTCTGAATCGGCTTAGTCGTCATTTCTTACTGGCGCTCTGGTCGCGCTCTTCTTCTGGTGTATATGTGCTGATCATGCTTGCGTTTTCTTAAACATTGTATCCGAAGTAGCTTTATTCACGAATTTATGAGCAGGCAGTGTGCTGACCCCAAAATAAGTAGATCGTAACAGCGTGGCGGCGAGGGCGCGGTGTGGGATCGAATTTGCAGCAGCTTCCGTATGTGTTTTCGTACATTGCACTTTTTCGAGCAGCCGCTAGTTCCTTTTGCCGGCTCATCTACCTGCGGGCTTGTAGCTAAGTGAAGCCTGGAAGCAAGTTTTAGAAAAATCCACACACTTCATTGAGAGGTTGGGCATCAATGACCAGCCCGGTTTTTCCATGCGATGTTGCAAGCAGACTTGCAGCTTCTCGTACCCTCCCCTGAATCGGCCCTATGTTCTTGCCAATAGACTTCTACCAAATGTCTCTCTACTTAGTATAATCATGCGGGTAGCCAAACTGAATTTTCTCCCATTGAATTTAAAGATTCTCGGCTCAAACTTTGCTTAGCTAGCACTCCATTTAAGCTAATTTCTTAACGATATTGAGCTCAGTTTTAGTTTGTTGAGTAGAGCTTTGAAAATGTGTACCTCAATCTTATGGTTTATTAATGTTTCCTTTTGAAATTTTTTGTGGGAACGAACGCCTTTTAACTTAGTTGATGTTCAGTTTTCTGTGTAAACCGTACTCGCTAACCTTTTGATTTTGCTTCGCTTTTGTTTTATGTGCATAATTGTAAACAACTGTATGTACGTGAACTCATCTAATCACGAGATATCATTATAGTTTTTTTTCAGGAAAAGAAGAAGAAGGAGCGAAAAAGGTCTCCCACGCCTAGCAGCAGTTCATTGAGCGACACAGAATAGAAGACGTAATTCGTTGTAATCCGTTTATGATAATTTATTGCACCTCTGTTTACTTTTTTTTATGGAGATTGGACTTCATGGTTCTATGGAATTATGTACTGGAAGAAGAATATACTTCCATTTATGATGTAATCAATTTCTGCAATGTGCAGACCCTGATGGCTGGTTCGTGTTTCATTGATGGCATCTCATGTGTTTAGGACTGATGTGTTGCCTTTGTTGAAGTTTGGCGTTGCTGTTGATATTTTTTGTCATTTAAATAAACAGTACCTCTTTTGTGTCATTGAGCCTATAGATGTGGTTGGAGCCCATTGAATATTACCAGCATAGCGATTTCGTAGTGATGTCCTGCATTTAGCGTTGCGTAATTTTGAGTAAGGTCGTTTTTTTTCAGAGGTGTGACCTCTCGAGTTATATGGGTGATGTACAACAGCAGCCTGGTGCAACCGGTGCCCACCTAGGAGGAGCTGTTAGTGTTACAGCTGCTGCTCTACATTCTGCTGCTCGTGTGGCCAATAAAGTCGAACAGCCTCCCATCCATTCCACGGCATTATAACGGCCTGATATAATGTACGTTAATCTCCCATGGAAAATGTTCGAGTACGCCTTCCTTTGTAAAGCTAATTCTAGTCATGATTTGTATATCTAAGAGAGAGCTAGTGATTGCTTAATTCTATACAGGGACTGAATTTGTGTATTTCGGTACGCGCGTACTACTAACTGCTCGCGTGCCGCTTCAAAGCTGGCGCCTCGTTCTTTTTCGTGAGTGCTATTGATACTGGTACACCTCACCTTGTTCCCGTACCTTACGAAACTTGTGGTGCCATACGAATTGTTTGTTAGAGATGTTAGTGAAGGAACAGGAGCACGATTACTGCCCCTCTTCAATGCTGCACTTTACTCTTGGACTCGCAATATCTATGAATCCACCTGACTTTGCGGAACGTGCAATCTTTACGTATTCAATTCAACGTAAGCTCGCCTCCGCTCAATTCCTACAGTAATTATAGAACAGTACTCGCAGGTAGCTACTCACATTGGAGTTTCACTTTTTTTCCGACTGAATTATATCGCGAGCTGCTGAGAAATTTCAACTCTTCCTTTTTGAGGACTATCTATCCCAAGGTCATTATATGGTGTGGTGTCTCACTATAGCGCGATCGTTACTAGCGTGTCTCAGCTTTGCACAACTATCTCAAAAGTTTATATGCTCTCCTACGTGCGACAGTTCAGGTGAGAGTCAGACCAGTGGCTTAATATTCTGGTTTTATTATTGCGTATCTCAATGTCTGTGCTATGTGATATACTCACGAATATTCTCTCGAGAATATAATAATGTGATCGCTGTCCTTCCTACAGTGGCTTTAGGCTTTCAGCAAAAAGAAATTCGCGTTGCCTGCCATAATAATTCACAGTAGCTGTTTGTCCAGTAAGGTCTGGCGAGATTTTGTCCATGACGCAGAGTGTGTTTTCTTATCGAAGCGCGATCTATAAGATCAAAAGTTCAAATATTATGAAATGTGTTCTTTCTAATTTTATTTGTTTATAGGTTTATATATGGCAATATTATAAGAAAGTATACGAAGCATTTGGCCGCTTGCAAATCAGTGAGGTGGGGCGGGTGTGTGGATGGGCCGGGGCGCATGTCTAGCTTCCTTTGTGCAAGCATTCGCAGTGCTTTGGAGATGCGATGTGGCCATATACAATGACTTGCGGGGCGCGGATGGTTCAAGGTCGAGACCTTTTTGCCGTTATTGCATCCAATATCTGGACCAGTGGTTCCTGGGGATATGAAAACCTTCCTCCTATATTAATCCCATATATAACGATCTATCTAAAAAGCCTATTGAAGCGCGGAAATACTGGAAAGTGATTGCTTTCATAGTTGTTTATTGTCATTATGGCGGCCGGGCGACTCACGGACGAACACAGGACCAATAATTAGATTCCCTGAGACTACGGCTCGGCGATAGTAAGAGACACGCCCAATTGTCACTGGAATGCGAGCGCTCACTCGACATGTCGTCCGCCTGCCCGTAAGTTAGGCATTCATAGGACCTATGCTTAAAGGCATTGAAAAATGGCCTACGAACGCGTCTATTCAGCGCAACTCTGATTGGCCAGTAACTCGGCGCTCTCCTCTTTTCTTGTTCGGATGTTCATAGGGAACTTTTTCCTAAAATTCATGGAGTATTTCATTGAATATACATGAGAGCTAATGTGGTGCCTGTTCGACGTCATAGATCATCTATATTGAACTTCACCTTTAAGTAACTTTCAATATTGTTGCTACATGAAGTCAATGTTCAATGTCAGTTCTGCCACATCGCCTGATCTTTGAACGGGTTCCGCGTTCCGATAATTCTTTAAAAATTACGCTCTTAGAGAGCTCTGGATATTGCATAGTAATCGGAAAAGGCAATCGGCAGATGAGCGAGCTAAGCTCTAGTTGCTCGGATACTCGACCATTGAACGCAAACATCAAAGCATATTTCGATAATGCACAGTAGATGTGGAGTAGTCCGGAGATTAAGGACAGCCTGTTTAGCGTTCCTGAAGGAACATTCTTCATCTCTCAGATATTACGATTCTGTCAAGCAATATCAAATTTCAGTTCTTGGTACTGCATCACTCGGATCTCTCTTGTTTGGTCTTCGAAGTGCGTGGAAGCATACTCGGCAACCTGAAGCTGCTGATTTGTGTAGAGCTCAGGTAATAGTTTCAGTACAGCTTTGAGCTGTTTCCTCTGCTATGTAACTGGTAGAATTTTGGCACCAAGTGTAAAAAATTCTCCAAATAATTTATTTTAAACTACTTATCGTATATGGGCGCATCGTTGTTTTACCAGTTCTTTTGTTAGTATTCTACTCATTTACGTAATCTGCCTCAGCATAACTACTGTATTTCAGGTACTTTCTGGAGTAGGATTCGCTGGCAAGGCATTAGGTGTTGCTACACTTATTACAGGTATATTTCCTCTTCACTGAGTGGTTTTCGATTTGTTTTGTTTTTAAATGTTGTTGCTCGCCATGGTCATTTATTATCACAAGGATGAGGAGTTATGGGCAGGGCAAGGTTTTCTAGGCACGTCGTTGGGAAAACGAGATTTTCTTTCCCATCTGGATGAATGCCAATAACTCCCCATCCTTGGACTAGAGGTTTTTATTCATTCTAATGATTTACGCCATCATTCTTTATTTTTTCAATTTTTTGAAGACAAATAACTTGATTTGGCTTGGCGCTTCTTTGCCTTCAGCGACGCTTGAAAACCTGAAACAACCAGCATCCTCTTCCGGCCTGAGTGTCCTCAAGATATCTGTCTAGAATTCAATCAATACACGCTTATCTACATCTCCGTCGTTATGACGCGATTTTGGCTATTAAGTTTTCTTGGGCGTGGATTTGGTACTTTTTGTCTTCTGCCCTCTCTGTGAACCATCAACCCTGGGCTATATAAAAGCAGCAGATGTCAATTATTTATTTGCAAGGTTACAAAGTTTCTGTGTTTCGCAAATTAAACGTCAACTCGATTCTTTTATAGGATCTTTTAGGCTTTTATACGTTTTGATGTTCTTATTGCTTGTCATTCTGAGGGAGATCCCATGGTAGAGATCTCCCTCAGAATGACTGTAATTGATTGAATGTAATTGTAATTGAAATTACTGTATTGTAACTGTAATTGAATTGTAATGATTGTAAGAGCTCGAATTTGCTCGAATTTTTGACAGTGATTTTTGTTAGGTAGATTTCGCCGTGCCGCTGCATACGGCAGATTCCCGCTTTTTCTCTAGAAAAGGAACGTAGGTGGTCTAGCTCCTATACCATTCAAATACGTAGCATGTCACATTCATGTCGCTTAGATACATGCGATCTTTGAACTCTTCCTTTTGTTCATCGAGGCCCAGCTCAGGCAACTCGTTGTGCTTATGATAGCAATCTTTCTAATAATCCCTGTTTTCCAACTCTGACTAGCCAGTCGCTAATATAATGCTAAATGGTATTTTGAACAAATTCCTTATTAAAAATAGAATCGATTTCTTTTCAGTTTCTGGCTTTTCCTTATTCATTGTCGGCGTATCGTGGGCCCTCAAGGTAAATACTCCTCGCCAGTTTGGCAACGCCATGCGCGAGGCCTTTGGAGATTCATTACGACTCCCGCAAAGCCACAAGTCTCAAACATTTGAAGAAGTATTACTCGGCCTGGAGTCGTCTAAACAACAAACGTAGGTTGCAGTTTAGTCGCTCTCACAACACATCTGAATAGAAGTTCTGTTTTATTGCAGCGCGATCCCGACGAACAAAGAAGGCATTGATCGGCATTGATTACGAAAGAACTTCATTTTCAATTCATAGAAATCTTCACAGCGATCACCTGATTTCTTCGTGATACTTCTTAATTTACTAGAGAAAGATTCTTTATAGGCAGGTAATGAGCTAGTTCACTGGTTACTATTTTATTCTTGCTTTAGATTTTGCGCAACGCTTGCCCTCAGATGTTTACAAATAACTGTTTTTACATGCCTGAATTACATCACACTATTTCAGCCATGCTTCCACTATTTATTTTACTTGTTCTCCTTTTTCTCGTTATTCTTCTGTTGTTCGCACTCCGCAGCAATAGAGCGTTGCCTTTACGACCGTCCTCTAAGGTTCATTTAAACTTTGTTGTGCTTCAAACTTTTATGTAGTTCTAAATCAAAACAACATAAAACCACAAATTTGCCAGGTGTTGCTTGTCATTGCTCATCCTGACGATGAGACGATGTTTTTTGCACCGGTGCTGCGAGCATTAAGTGCTGCTAATCATCGTGTGTTTATTCTATGCGTGTCCAACGGGAATTTTGAGGGGCTGGTTGGTTTTGTCTGTTTTCTCCAATTCTTTCGAAACTAGGAAAGGCATTCAACTTCCCATGGAACTTTGAATGAGACCCAGATATATCGATAGAGCTTCAAACGCTGATTACAAATATGGAAACTAAAACTGCAAAATGAACCTGCCAAGGAAGTTGTGAGCAGTCAAAGTTGGGTAAAGCGTTACATATGAACCGTGCTAGCGTCCGGCATTCAGAGTCGCCATGGAGTAGTGGTAGTGCTCTCAAAATTATCACTCCAACGGGAAGAGAACTCGTGAACTCCCGGTTCGAGAGTGAGAGCACTACCACTTTACACAGTGCTCTGAAGCCCGGAAGCTGGTACAGTTGCCAACTTTGACTGCTCACAACTTCCTTGGCAGGTTCATTTTGCAGTTTTAGTTTCCATATTTGTAATCAGCGTTTGAAGCTCTATCGATATATCTGGGTCTCATTCAAAGTTCCATGGGAAGTTGAATGCCTTCCCTGGTGAGTGGCCTCTTTCTGATGATCTACTGTTTTCCAGGGCAAAGTCCGTAGTCGAGAACTACAGGAGGCTGTTCAATTTCTTGGTGTTAAATCGTCAGACGTTACTGTGCTCGACTATGATGCTTTTCCAGATGGAGGACAGTGGGATCGTCAAGCATTGAGCAATGTTCTGCTCAGGTACATTGAGGTAAGCATGATGTCCTAATTTGTTTCATACACTTTGATATACTCTACGATGAAGGATTCGCTCGTGTTTCTAAAGTCGTGGACATACCTTGCGCCGCCGTTGTTCCAATTCCAAAAAAGTACGACTCCTTCCCTTCTTCAGAAAATCTCGATAGGAGCCTCCTCCATCCCCTGCCAATTACCCTCACCATCATGGTGGTTTCTGTAGTATAGCTTCTGACCATGATTAGTCGACACAGCCCAACTCTGCCCTTTTTTCCCTCGAAGACGGCCCTCGAGGGGGGGGGGGGGAGGTAACTATTCTGATGAAACAACAAATCTTCTAATTTCGACCACTTCACGCTTGCTTTCTTGTTCCAACAAAATTATCAGAATATCCTCCAAAAACGACTCCACTCTCGCATCACCATATTCCATCCAACTTCCAATAACACGGCCCCCATTTTCCCCACCTTTTGACCTTCACCAACCTCTAAAACGACCCCCTCCGAAAAGCTTTAAATACAACTCCCCCGTTGATAACTGCACAACGTGCTATTGACCGTTTTGAGAGTGTTCTGCTATCGTTTGCAGTCCCCACTCAACCATTTCAGGTTTTGTCGGTCGACTGTGTGCTATCTTTCGACGCTGTCGGAGTTTCTGGGCATGGAAATCATTCATCTTGCTTCGAGGCGTTACAAGATGCTTATACACGAGGTGTTATTCCAGAAGATGTGCAAATTTTTGTGCTCGACTCCGTCCCACTTCTAAGAAAGTAAGATCTTTTATAAAATGTCTTAGTCCCTAGGGCGCAATTTTGTCATTTCAGATATACTGGAATATTCGATGCTCCGCTATCGGTGGCTCGATCACCGTTCCAGTATTTTGCTAGAGGTCGCGATGTGGCGGCAGCATGGCGTGCTATGAGACGGCACCGCTCACAATTCGTGTGGTTCCGTTTCCTGTACATGATCTTTAGTAGGTATGTTGAATTTTCGAATTATGTTACAACCTTCGTAGTGGCTATTGTACAGCGAGCTCATGCTCAGCTTGTTTGTATTTTGGACGATTACAGTCGATATCCGAAAGTTGGGGTAGGTGTGGCACCGGAAGTGACGTGCACTTGATAGAAGTTGCGTGGATAAGCTGTTGCCAGCATGCTTTGCTGATATGCCGCGATGTATGTTGGAAGCAGCTTATCCACGTAGCTTCTATCAAGTGCACGTCACTTCCGGTGCCACGCCTACCCCAACTACGGATATCGACTGTACACTCCGTTTCATGCAGCCAGAAATCCACGTGGCACACGTGGCTAAATTCTCGATGAAAAGGTGACGTCACGTGTGCTCAAAGATGTTCTTGAATCGATGCCACGTCAATGCCACGTCAATTTCTGCAATTGCACATTTTCTGGTTATTTGAAGGCGAGGGTATTATTTTTGAGTGATAGCTAGAGGGAATTACCATTCATTTTTTCGATCATTTTGGGGTTTTAATTTAATCTGCCCGGTGGGAAATTGCAGGATTGTTTTGGCTAGTGAGAAAAGCTACAGAGCGGAAATGGTGTAGTGGCAAGCGGCGCAGCTTACCACGCGCGCGGTTCTTGCATCAATTTGCTTGTCGCTATTGGGGTCATCCAATGCCTTCCATCCCTCTCGCTCCCCTCCTTCCGGGTTGACTCTTCGGTACTAGTCTTGGTTGGGAGGAGCAAGATAGACTCGAACATCGGATGATTCTCGGAAGTCACTGTGTAGGCCAAATTCATCCACAATGTCACTGCGTTTTGAATTGAAGTGAAATATGTGGCGCATCCCAAAAGGATGAACGAACGCGAATGGGCTTACTTCTTTTCTTTCATGGAAAAGCAGTGAATTTCAGATCTATTTGTGGAGAATTTCTCGTTGTCAGGAGTGGCTGGGGGCATTTCTTACAGTAGCCACACCAATGCTTCCTGACGAACTGCTCTTTTGCATGACTTTCACTGACATTTCATCGCTCACTTATCTTAGTTCACTAATACTGAGATTTTATCACTTTCTAGCAGGAAGACTTAAACCTCTCAACTCCCATCGATAGCTTATTCATTTACATGTTTTAAGTTCTGCACATGTCCCAAATTCGTGTGGTTCTATTAGCAAGCTTTTCCTCTCACTTTTTTCGTCGCTATGTTTTTTCACCATTTTTTCGTATTTACCGCTATAGCGCATATTTAACTTGGTATCTCGTAGTATCACACTGATGTGGAGTAAATGAGCTGAAGACGCGAATTAAAGGCGAAGCTCTTGATGAAAAGGCAGATCATCATAAATCAAGGTAGAGGTGGTCAGTGGTGCAGTGATGAAGTAGAAACCATGAGAAATTGCCCGGGTGCAGCTGCTATGCTTCTTTTCCTGCGAATCGCGCATCGTCCTGCACCCTCAAGGAACCCTTACGTTTCAATTAGGTATATTCCCTTTCTTCGACCTCTGCCCTTATCGTGGAATCCTCCTTCAAGCAGATTCGCTAACCGTTGTTTGTATTCATGGTGGTCAACAGGTTTTTTTTGATCAAGGCATGGCTCAGTCTTTGGCAACATTGTTGCTAATCGACATAAAATACGAGATCTTCCTTTATTGAGCAAAATATCTGCTTTCTAAAACAGGATATTCGTTGAAAAGTAGAGAACTTGTACGTGAGCTATTTACCCTTGGTTTGCTCACGCTCCATTTTCCAAGCTTCAAGTTGAGTTGCTTGTCCATCTGCACAGTAAAACGGCTCATACCGTACACCTTCAGGATTTAAAAAGGTGAAATGGTCCAGGTGGAAACAATGAGGTAGTTTTGCAGGTACATCTACATCAATACCTTCCGACGTATTGCTCCAATCAACAAGATTCCAGTTGCAAAACGAAAAAGTAAAACAAATTAATCTAAGCAGTGTGCATATTCATACGTTGTTACATAGTTGTCCGTCATGATTCACACAGTCTTTGAGGGTTATTACTGCTCATAGTCATAGTCTTTGTATGATGTGAAGTATATGATGATATACTTCCTAGACTTGTTGTAGATGTTTATATTTTGTTATGTACTAGGTAACTGAGGATTTGATAAACACTGTTATTTGTTGGATACGACTAGGACTACACTGGCTTTCGCATCAAAGTTATGCATTTTTTCAGCCTCTCCTACAGCCGCGAAAGTTTCTGGAGTTGTAAAGCAGACATTGTAGTAGCTTCCATAACTGCGGACTAGGTGGCTAGAGGGGGTAGCCTTTACCGTATTTGGTAATCGTCGGTAGAGCTGGTGTCAGAGTCTGCGATCCGTCGCGCGATTCGAGTATTGATCGGACCGCCTAATCACAAGTGCCCGATCAATACTGCGAGGTGCTCTCCAATCCCGCCGCCATTTCTGCTTGATGGTGATGGTTGAATGACGACTGTTCATGATTCTACTTGTTTCATATTCAGTGTTTCAAATGTTCAAATGGGGCACTTGCGATTTTTGCGATTCGCGCGATCGCGCGACGGATCGCGGACTCTGACAGCAGCCTGATGAGGGTCATTTGGATCTCACCGTCAGTAGGCTATATCCACTCGTGCTACCGATTTGGAATAATTGAAATTAATTCAGATTATTTTTGACCTTCTTAGGGCTCGCGGCAACCATTGTGGCAGCGGAGAATAATGTTATCCTAGAACAGGTATTGTCTCTAACAGTAAGCAAGAGAGTTCCAGGATTAGTCGCGATGTTATGCTGCATATGGGGACGATGTTCAGACTTTGCGATCGCGCCGATTCGGCTAGGCGTCCGCTGGGGGTCGCGGGTGCCGGGACCAGCCAATTGATGTGGTTCAGCGACGCTAGTAATCTCGCGATGCGCAAAGTCTGACATCGGCCTATGAAGGCTCAGGTTTCGGGTAAATTAGAGGTATTTGCGAACAGAAGATCTCTAGAGCGTGGACACAGTTTTTCAGAATTTTAGATGTAGACAGGGTTGATACATTATCCATCCTCTTGTTATAGAAGCGGCGAGAGTGCAGACCACACACCACAAGTGACGACAACCTCCATAAAATGTGTTTTTTGCCAATGAAATGATTGGCTGTTACAGTTGTATTCTATCAGTTGTCCCTAATTACAACTCGTTTTTTTTTACCAAAGATGAGCTTTATGCATAGGACAATGAAGTTACCAAATGTTCCCTAAAGGCCATCGTCACTTGTGGTGTGTGGTCTGTCACTCGCGCAGTTTTCACAGGGATTTGTTTAATTGTGAGTCAGCACGTTCTCATTGTGAGTGCCCTTTGAATGCTTGAGGTTCTGGATCTCTTGCTGATGTGAAAATTTCTTCACAAATATATATCGCAAGTACTTCCTAAGTACGACTCAAATTGGATACGGCTATGTCAACCTTACTACAATCGGCCGTTTTTAGAGGAGTTCTCATTTCACAGTTCAGACTTTAGGAAAGACCGAAACATTATTATTCAACTTATTACTAACACAAAAAAAAACTATAATAAACTACACTAGATGAGCGTGGGTAATCTCATGCGATTCCTGACTGGAATCAGTTAGTAGCTGAGCCAAGGACGAATCCGCTGTCAGTTCCCGTTGATCCAGCTTGTGACGTGATACCTTGAACATTTTGTAATAGTTCCTAAGCAATACCCAACATCTCCGTAGTTGACCTAGGCTAGGTAACGAACATGTTTGTGTTATGGCAGACGAAGCGCGATTTATTGGGTCGTTAGTTGTATTTGCGATTTTTGGAGGGGGAGAGGGGTATGCAGAAGGTGCGCTCTCCTCACTCGTTCAAAGAATGTTTGGACGGAGAAATAATTAAGAGTACATCACAAAGTACGACCATAGAAAGGGACAAGAGAGCGAAAGATTATGTGAAAAGTCCGAATAAACGTCAATGGTTTGTGAATAGCTGAAGACAAGAGGCGAGATTACATGAAGTGCAAGATAGGCGCCCAATAAGCATCCATCGGCACCCATTTCTAAAAAAATGGCTGTTTTGAAACGAGTTTAATCTTTTAGGTTGGTAGGGACAAATTCTATTAGGTCGGTCCTAATGGTGATACTTTTGGTTGTTTTGCGACCTTAATTATTTCTTATTTTTCTTTTTTTGAGGTTTTATCAGACAGGTCATACATCGCCGTTATTACCCACATATCACCAAATGCGAGGGGTAGGTGAGCAGTGTCTCTCTTGTAGAATTTCATAGAGTTCTGATCGAAGAAATATTGGATGTCGATTTTGACTTTATGGTGATTCAAGTGAGATTTCTTCTCCAGAAGGTGATTGAGAGAGGAGAGCGGATAGTCGTTCGTTGACGCAGGATTAGTGCTATAAGGCGGAGCTAAAAGAACTGACCGCCCCGAAGAGTACAGTCTAATTTTTTAGGAATTTTCTTAGCAAGGCGGGCTCGAACGACCTCAGAGAAAAATAGATTTTGTCTTCCTTTGCTTTCAAGTTGAAGGCGTTGCCATCAAGCTGTCAACGATTCTTCCCATCACTGACACTGGTATTAGTTGATGCCGGTCTTCAGCGCAAAGGCCCTCCCGTATTGCGCCAACGACTCAGGAAGTTCGAATTCAGAGGGAGTTGGGTTTGTACTGTCAGAACTCCCGAATCGTTTGAGCAAATCTACTGCGGCTCGTGGATTTGTTAGCACATTGCACCCAGTCCACATCACCAATGAGTATTATAGATGGTCATCCGAAGGAACTATAGGAAACCAACAGGAACTTGATGATGTCAGATTGGGTTGAGAACTGATTCGGGACTACAATTTTCCTTCGATCAGAACTCTATGAAAGTCCACAAGAGAGGCACTGAATACCCACCTCGCATTGGCGATATGTTGCTAATAATAATGATGTATGTACTATGCTGGATAAGTAGATCAGAGAAATAAGATAAGTTATAAATCGAAAAACACCAAAGGTTCTCAAAAATTGTGGACCGACCTAATAGTTGTCGAAGTATCCTGTAAATTATTCAGAATATATTATAAGAATTCTGGAGTTTGGGATAAAACTTTTTTGTTCCCCCGCCGGGGGCGCCCAAGAAAGAACGGGCTGAAACTGCGTCTCTCGGTACTGGGCAGTGCGCTTAAACATACCTCCCTTGTCGCCTAAACTCAGTTTAATGGTGGTTGAATGACCAACTGTTCAAGGTATTCGTACAGTTGCTAGTCGTCGGCAGGGTGTGAGTAAGTAAGGAAATTCATCGATGATGGCTTTTGTGCCTGTGCTGAGAAAAGTGGTCGGAGGTTTTTATGAAATTGTTTGTTTAAACCACCCGGTTAAGGCAAGACGGCTCGCGCCAGCGGGAGAAGTAAGGTGTGCGGATGCGGGGGAGAATCCTCCCGACGATGTTCGCCTGTTCGAAGAAAAAGGGAAGGGATTTCTTTGGAGTGGCGTCTCACGAAATAGATGTCAGTTAAGTTGGTGCTAGGCACGCTCAGCATTGAGTAATTGAATTGTGATCGATTATACTGAAACTCACCGATGCGATTGGACTTGTTCACGTTGATGAGTTGAGACGCGCGTACATTCCAGATAGTTTCACGTAAACTTAAAAAATTCATACTGCTCTACTAATATACTGCATAGTGTGAAGAATGAAGTTTGGCTCAATGCAGCCCGGGGCCAGCCCATTATCATTGGTTTATAGTAACGGAAGCGCTCAGTTTTAGGAGCTAAGCCAAGCCACAGAAGAGAAGATGGGCTTCCGAGGTGCGCAAGCATTTTTCGTCTTTCCAGAGTTCGTACCTCTCCGTTAGGCTTAGCCCCGCTCCCCTACAGGAAGTTCCCTACAGACTGTCCCTATCGAAGGCAAGTGGACTAGAGGATTAAACCGTGGGACGTTCCGGAAGCGGATTTTGGAAGAAGTGAAAAGGATTGGGTCCTCAATACATGTGTGTGCCGCGCGGGTCCATTTTCTTCTACGCGCCCAGCTGGTTCTGAATTGTCGTTGTTAACTTAGTCGCGTTGCGTCGCTAGCGACATCATCGATAAAGACGCGAATATGTATGGTTTGGAAAAAGAGGAACGGGTCCAGAGTGGGCTTTTGATCTTTCACTTTTTCTGGGCTGGTTGTCATTTGGGGTGTGTGGTCTGCATCTGACGTCTCTCGGTCTCCGGAATAGGGGTAACGTGAACATTAGCTTCGCTTTTAACCCCTTTTTTTTTTTTTATTTCCACCCCCCCCAGTGTTTTCGTTCTTCGAAAAAAAGAAATCGGAAACAACATGGATACTTTAGTAATGGATGTCGCACAAATCACCTGCCCTCTTGCGGATGTGGGACTCCCAAAGAACAAGGTTCAGGTAAACGTGTGCACGGGGCGGAATCCCTCTCACGCATTTTTTCTCAAAAGCTTTGTTATTATTAAGTTCTCACTGTTCTAACTTTCTGAATTCGAGCGTTAGCGAATTCATCGATCGGAACGGAGTGCCCACAAAGTCAATAAAATTGAATGAGAATGGAAGTGTTGAGCTTGGCCGAAACCGCATCTCGGATATGGATCGGTTACAGGAAGTCCAGCGCGACGCCGGGGGTTCCCCCCCCCCCGGCACACCGCACTTGTAGCTTTATTCGCATTGATTCGAGTTTTTTCATGTTCTGATACCGTACATTACCTGATGATGGTACTGCCATGTTATTGGCTATGGGAAATTGCCAGGACCGTACTTGTTTCTTGACGTCTCTGTGGTCGGCGGGAGGCTCAAAGGAATCTTGCGGGAAAAGCTCCGCCTCCATTACCACAGAAAAACGATACCCTTAGGCCCCTAGCCTCATGAGCAGCAAAAAGAACGGAACATAAGCGTTAGTTTCGATAATACTAATCCTACACACAAGACAAAATGATCACTCTTTCCGTGGAAGATTCCTTTAAGGTATCGTTTTCTGTGGT